TAATATTTATTTACATTTTTTGGTAATTTATTTTTTCTTTTGCTAACAACAAAAGACCATTTGGTTCTTCAAGATAGTCTTTGCACATCCAACTTTAAACTTCATTTTTCAGGAAAACATTGATTCCTCTCTTAAACTCCTGTGCTGGCCTCTATACAATGGACAGTCATTCAATAAATAAATCATCAAAAATACAGGTGTCTTAGCAGGAGCCTAACCTGTCTTTTTCCAAATCTCAAACATATTTTTTCTTGTCCTTTATCCAATTTATTCCTTAGACAGTCTTGTAAACTTCAATAAAGTCACCTCTTACCCCTTTTTTCTTAAGAAAAAGCAAATTAAAAGATTTTAACTTATCCATATGAGATAACCTTTCAGTCCCTGAAATCATCACAATAGCCTTCCTCTGAACCTTTACCAAAAAGTAAATTTCTTTTCTAAGATAAGGAGACTAGAACTTTAGACAATATTCCTAATGAGGCCTATCTAGTAATTTGTACAAAGAAATAATTACCCATTTCTTTACTTATAATCAATATGTCTATAAATACATCCTAAAATTCTATTAGTTTTACTACTAGCACCAAAACAGTGCTTGAATGGCTTGAGTGACTTATCTACCACTATGTCAAGTTCCTTTGTAGCAGTCATGCTGTTGAATAAGTTCCCATCTATATTAGATGTGTGATCCAAATTATTATAACCAAAATGCATTACTTTCCTCATATAATTAAAGGTGACTTCTTATATAATTGTCCAACTTATAGATTGATCCAAGTTGTTTTGCAATATATCAACATCCTCAATGCTGCTAGAAGCACTCAAGCATTTAATGTCATTTGTAAGCTTTACTAATTCATTAATTATGCTCCTGTCAATATCTTTAATGTAAATAGCAAAAGCAAATGCTCAATACACTGACCCTTGAGGCACTTTGCTGGTAACAAGAGTCCAGTTTGAATAAATTCCATTAATAACAGTCTTTTGCTTTTTTGCCACCCAATCAAACTCATTAGTCTTTCCCTAATCCTTAATGATGTGATTCTCTAAGCTAATATATTGTTTGATATCTTATCAAAAGCATTTTGAACTAGCTAAGTACACCAAGTCTTCTGAGTGTTTAACAGTATTTAAAGAAAATATGAAAATCTGAGACCTGTTTGTAGAATTTTTATTATTATTATTATATAGTTTTCTAATCCATTTTCATTTAGCATGTTGTGTTCACTTTTGGTATTTTGATAAATTAAAATCTGGTTCTGGAAAATAACTGGATTCTTTCTCCTTGAATGAAAATATCCTGAAAACAGAAACTTTTCTTTCAATTGATATAACAGATTACTGACACAAATGATAACCCTCCCGAGTTTGAGCACAATGTCTACTCCTTTGATATTCCTGAGGAGATCCAGAGAGGAGCTTCAGTTGGTAAAGTTTCTGCTACAGACAAGGACATTGGTGTTAATGGACAGATCAGTTATAGTGTGTTGAGTGACTGGGGCAATGATATTTTCTCCCTCAACCCACAGACTGGTGTGTTTATTCTGACTTCTCATCTAGATTATGAACAGGTAAGTGTGGCTGTTGTTTAGTTTATTAAAAAAAAAAGATAGTAATTCACTGTGTCATTTAACGAGAAGAACATTTCAGATAATAGAAGAAGAGAAAAGAAACAATAATTTTTAAATAACTGTGTTTCCAGTCTGTCAGGTTTTTTCATTAGTTTTAGATAAATCATTTGAGACAAAATAATCTCTTTTAGCACTATTTTAAAACACATTATTGAAAGTGTCATAAAATTCAAGAAATGAACAAGCAACATCATTAATTGGGCACAAGTGGCAAACATAAACAGTATATCAGAGTACTAGAAAAACTCTGAATATGTGCACTAAGGATATTAACAGTAATATTTCCCAGTTTTGAGGTCAGGCATGTAAGCTTCCTGTTTTAAGTTTGGAAATAATTCTGATTATCATTACTTGCAAAAAAGGCAATTCTGTTTTGTCTTTCATAAAATGTGAAAGTTATTATTTTTAAAGGTAGACATTATTTACTTTGATTTGTCTGTCACCATTATGGAAACATTTATACACTAAATTTCCTATTTAAAAAAAACATTTTGAAACATAAGGTTGTCAAAATATTTTTTGTTCCAAACTAAACTAATTTATATATTGAATTGCTAATCTCCATGGGGAAAACATTTAATAAATGTTCCAATTGGTTAACTTATATTTATTTTCTCAGAATAAGGATATGTTAAGACAACTTTTATAATAATGCACTTAGTTACAAATGTCCTTCACTACAGCTTATACTGAAATAAAATAATAAAAATGAAATACTAAGAAATCTAGCTACATTGAAATTATTTGTTAATCTACCAGTTGATTTTGCTATATAAAAAAAGAAGCCTTAAGTCACGTGGTTCAGTTCACTCAGCTTTTCATTGTGTTGCTCAACTCATCTGTTTATGTTTGAAATTTTTTATGAGAAATTAAATCATCAGATTATTTCTCATGTGTTATGTACTAAAATTAATTACCGTTTGTTATTATAATAAGTGTAATGAAGTATTCTGACTTTAAATCAGTTTTATGTAAGACAAATACTTTGATATGAAATTGAATGTTATTGACGAGATTATTAATATCTTGTGACACAGTTTGTTTACAAGATTATCTTTTACATATAGATTAGCTGCAGAATGTTAATGTAATAGAATTCATTTATAATTAAAAAAAAATTATGGTGGTTATTTTTGGTATAGGTTCAACATTATATCTTTGTTGTACAAGCCCAAGATTCTGGCCAACCCATTTTGTCCAGCACTGTTACTGTGTACTTTAATGTTCAGGATCTAAATGATAATGCACCACTGTTTGATCCAATGAGCTACAGCAATGAAGTGTATGAAAATGTCACAGTGGGTACAAGCATCGTAAGTGTCAGTGCAACTGACTTAGATTCAGGTATGTGAAACTTATCTGTATTTGTAAGGAGAAATTACGTTGTTTCATATAAATAGTTGTGAAAATAGATTACAATGAATGATGCATACTTTTAATACTTTAACTTCTTTTGTGATTTGTTTAGCTCTACAAATGGTTGTATAGTTTTGAATTGTAGTAATTTTTATAGACTGTTAGTCTCTGATCAGTGAATATAATGGTATTAAAACCTTTTGCATATAGTGAAACAAGAAAGAAATCTCATGCATAGTCAAGCACTTGCTGGTATTCTTCATATGATGTTACACTGACTAGTTGCTATATAAGGAGTCCTCACACACATTTATAGAAGCTTTCGCTTATTTGCATATACAAAATAGATTGATCATGTCATGTGTAAAGTGAACGCTTTAGAAGTATAAATGTAGTTTAGTCATATTATTGTTAGTTTGCAGATGAAGGGTAAGAGCAAGGGTCTCTTCTAACTTTGAAAGGAACATAATAACAGGTGTCTGTCTAGCAGAAGAGTTATTATCAAAGACCATTTCTGTAACAGGTTGTTAAATGATATCTGGCATTAGAGTCTATCGCTAATGGTAGGTTAAAAGGAATGCATCTGCTGCTAATAAAAATCATGATCACTAACTGTTAGCTACTAACCAATGTAAAACAATTGGACAGACTTGCAAGGTGAAACAGATGTCAGACTGTAACTCAGACTTGACTAATCCTAACTGTACCATGTGGAGAAGATTACTAAAACCATTTATTTCAAATGCATGGGAAAGCAAGGTTTTAATGGTTCTTAGCCCTGTATGTAAGGACGAGATCAAAGTGTGCATGTCATGATCTTTTACAGAGTGCCATTCAACATGTTATTATGTATTTGATGTCAGAGTTATCAACTACTCAGTTTACCTTACATTGCTAATTTAAGGTAAATGTCACATATTGATCATCTTTGAGTTGAAGGTTACCACCATAATTGTAAGATGACATCTGTGAACTAACTACAGACATTATCTTAGTGAATAAAAATACAATCAATGAAAAAAAAATTCTTGCATCTTGTAGATTTTGTACTATGCTACTCTGTTATCACGAAGAAAGCTGTTTCATCCCAATATCAGTTGGAAATCCTAATAAAATGGCTGGTCAGTCAACATAGATGAAAGTATCATATACAAATGATAGAGAAACGATTAATGCTATTTTAATAATCACCAACAGAACTCAAAAGGAAGACTGTGATGTTTATATATGTTGTTTCAAATTCATTAATAGTTGAATGTTTCATTAGTTTTTTAGCAAGAGATGGTTTGGGGTTTCATTTAGAATAAGATCATTTCATTCAAGTTATGTCAGAGGAGTGTATAGAAATGACCAATAAATACCTAAAAATGACCACCTTATAACATTTTCTCAATTTTAAGGAATACTTTACAATTTCTCCTTATCGCTTTTGGTATTTTTATATCTATTTTTGAAATAATAACAGTGCTTGCATAAATATGATGTCATATCTGACAGCACATATAGTATTGTATGTTTTTGAATCTTTTTTATATTTGAAATGCAAAAAAAAACCGTTTTTCGAATTTGAAAATTACATTTCATGTGTTACTAATTTTTTAATGTATACATAAATATCTTCTATTAAAGTAATAGCTTTGAAGAACAAGAAGAATGATTTAAGTTATTTTTGAAGGGAAGATACTGATACTGAGATGGCAGAAACTGCTAAATAAGTAGGATGTTAATTTAGTATAGTTTGAGGCATGTACTTGTATTTGAATACCAATGGTATCGATGATTGAACTTTACAGTTTAAAAGTATTGTAATCGCCAGATTATAGGGCGATCTTGAATGTAGGGTGACCCCCATTTTCAGAATCCATGGGAAAGAAAAAAAATTGAGTCATAATGTCCTTTTTTTAGGTCTGTAAGATCAATGCTATAACTGAACAGACTGCAGGTGAATTAGTTGTATGACCTTGAGCGAACGTCTGGCATGCATGCTATCTGGATATTCAGGAATGCGACAGGCTACAGTAGGGGAAGGGACCTGTGATCAGCTTCGATTATATGGCGATTATGAATTTTATAACTTAATTATTAATAAAAGACATCTCCTTATAATCGGGCCAGTACGGTGTATTATATATTTTTTCTATAAAAACAACAAATAATCTAAAAGCCTAATTATTTTATTTTCCATTTTTTTAGGGGATAATGGTAACATCATATATGCCATCGTAGAAGGTGATAGAGACAACCAATTTGGTATTTCAGCAAATGGAACAATCTTCACCTCAAAACCTCTAGATCGAGAAACTAAATCTTTTTATAACTTGATTGTAAGTGCCACTGATCAGGCATGGCCAGAAGAACGACGCCTGTCCAGCACCGTTCAAGTGACCATTATTTTAAAGGATATAAATGATGAATCTCCAGAATTTACTATGTCAAACACCACTTCTGTTCTAGAAAATGTTCCAGTGAACACAGTAATCATGGCAGTGAAAGCTATTGATCGGGATGAAGGTAAAAATAGTTACATAGAATATAGCCTCTTCTCTGCAACAGATAAGTTTTTGCTTGGACCAGTAGACGGACTACTTCGAGTTAATGGACCCCTTGATCGAGAAATAAAGTCTCAATATGAAATTACAGTAACTGCCAAAGATAGAGGGATTCCATCGAGATCATCATTTATAAATATTGTTGTTGACATCTTGGATGAAAATGATAACAGCCCCACTTTTGATCCTAGGCAGTATAGTGCATCAGTATCAGAAAACACTAGTATAGGATTGAGTGTTCTGGAGGTTTCAGCAACTGATCAAGATAAAGGGCTAAGTGGTCAGGTTCATTACTCAATTATTGCAGGTGACACTAACCTTGATTTTGTAATAGGTGAAGACACGGGAATCATTAGAGTGGGTAAAAATTTAGATTATGAAAGGAAGAATAGGTATACTCTTACTGTTCAGGCAGAGGATGCTGGAGATGATGTACGATATGATACTGCTACTGTTACAATATCAGTGACAGATATCAATGATAACCCTCCGACATTCCTCAACTCTCCTCATGAGATTCATGTGATGGAGAATATAGAATCTTTACCAGCTTATCTAGTAACTCTTACAGCTCAGGATGCAGACTTCCTTCCTAATAATCACATCCATTACTTGATTAAAGATGCCGACAAGAGTCTTTTTGCCATCAACTCTACTACAGGTCAAATCTCCTTGATGAGGATGCTAGACAGAGAACAACAGTCACAATACACATTAAGTGTTCTGGCAATGGATTCGGGTAATTTTGTTATTTCTTCCTATTAGCTACAATGTTCTTAATGAATTTATAAAATAATAGTCCCTATAAACATCTAAAGAAAATGTGTTTGTGACTTGTAATGTAAATTATGAAATACCCCCTTAAGCTATTTTACAAATGTTTAATTTACATGTGCTGATTTATAACAAACTGGGATTGTCTTAGTGAAAGAATGTGAACAGTTTATTAAGACTATCCTAATATTATAAAAAAGTCTAGACTGGCCATTATCTTGTGATTTTTGTTAAATAACCACTTGTCTTTCATGTAAATCACATAAGTTCTTTGTGTATAAGAAAAGGTTCACATTTTTGTTGAAAAAAAGACGTGAATTTAACAACCTAAAGTTTGGTTTGTTTTGAAGTTAAGCACAAAGCTACACAATGGGCTATCTTTGTTCTGCCCACCACGGATATCGAAACTCGGTTTCTAGTATTGTAAGTCTGCAGACATACTGCTGTGCCACTGGGGGGGCTTGATGTTTAGAATCAAAAAGAAATTTTGGCAAACATTTGATATTTTTTTGGCTTTACCATACTCATTATATATGTAAAAGAGTAACATGTGTGCATGTGTAAAAAAATATTTAAGCTTCATTAAATTATGCAAAAATGAAATTAAGAGTAGGGAAGTACGGATGAAATCACCATATGTGTAAGGAAGGGGTGGGTGTAGATATTAGTATGATTGCAAAGGGAAAGGTATTTGGGGAATGGATGTGTCATTCCTGAGAGTCCCATCTCAGATAGTAGTGTTTATGTGTTAAGGTTTTGTGTGTGAATTTCTATATTTGTTTATGAACTCTTAGAGCACTTGTACCCTGTTGAGTTTTAATACTTGCCACTAATACCTAGGTTTTGAAAGTTCTGATAGATCTGATGTCTCTTACTAGATAAGTCAGTCAGTTTGTCAGTTTTGATCACACCCTTCAGCTCAAAGTATCTTTTGTACTAGAGGTGTTTGGTGGGTATCACTTGCAGCATAGATTCAACTCACCTTGGTTTAATCTCACAGTCAATATGTGCACTGTGTAACCATCAGATTCATTCAGAACTCTGTATACCTAACCTCTTATGTAAGTAGTGTAGGCAGGCCACTTAACTGTTTTAGTTATGTTAAATACACAGCACTGCCTTTATATATTATAAACATTAAGGATTCAAAATACCATAACCAAAAGAATGTTTTGTACATGAAACACAAGTTTTCCCCTAGTCTCTTCATTAAACTAGTCCTTGCCCATCACTGACATGTGTATATAATACTGAAAGTTTCAATTTTTGTGAGAATTCTCTTAAAACTTAACATTTTGGTGTATCTCTAAACTATAAGTTGTTAAGTCAGTTTTTATTTAATCAAAGGTTCAAATATATTATTTCTGAGTTTCAAATTTCCATGCTCTGTAAAACGGAACCCTAGTTCTACTTGAAAACATTCATTCTGCCATAAAGTATAATTTCTCCATTAAACCAAGCTTGTCTCTATAATCTTAATTTGCATAATGGCTTGAGTTATTATTTAATCTTGTAACAGTATATTGTGGTACTTATCATGGAAGATAATTTTGAGTTCTTGCATCACGTTAATGTATGAAACTGGGAGTTTCATAAAGCATTTGCTAAATAATGCCCCGCAAGTGACACAGCGGCATGTCTGTGGACGTACAACAATAGAAACCGGGTTTCGATACTCATTGTGTAGCTTTTTGCTTAACTTCAAACAAACAAAATTCTAAATAATTTAAAATGACATTGTTAGGGCATATTAAAAAAATTGACTCTCAGATGGAAAAAAAAAGAAAGTTAAAGCCACAATATGACAGCTTCTTCAGGAGGGTTCGCACAAACACGAACTGGAACTGACTGTACAAAGCTTCAGATGGTTTAAATAGTGAATGCTTCTGAAGAAGCTGTAAGCAAAACATAAAGTGTTTAATTAAATGAAAACATGATTTTGGTATTATAAGGTAATTTATAAGTTTATTTAAATATTGTATAGTACTAAGATTTTTTTATCATGGTGAGAATTTCCCCTATTTTAAGACACTTGGTTCACCAAAAGTAAAGATAACTTCTGGTTTTGCTGGATCCTGTATGATTGGTTCCACAGTGGTTATTGATATAAGGCACTTTATACGTAGAAAGTAGTGAGCTGTATGGTTGATTCTACAATGGTTGTTGATATAAGGCACCATATAAGTAGAAAGTAGTGAGCTGTATGATTGGTTCCACAGTGGTTATTGATATAAAGCACCATATAAGTAGAAAGTAGTGAGCTGTATGGTTGATTCCATAGTGGTTGTTGATATAAGGCACTATATAAGTAGAAAGTAGTGAGCTGTAAGGTTGATTCTACAGTGATTGTTGATCTAAGGCACCATATAAGTAGAAAGTAACAAGCTGTATGGTTGATTCTACAGTGGTTGTTGATATAAGCACCATTTAAGTGGTTGATTCTACAGTGGTTGTTGATATAAGTAACCATATAAGTAGAAAGTAGTGAGCTGTATGGTTGATTCTACAGTGGTTGTTGATATAAGCACCATATAAGTAGAAAGTAGTGAGCTGTAAGGTTGATTCTACAATGGTTGTGATATAATGCACCATATAAGTAGAAAGTAATGAGCTGTATGGTTGATTCTACAGTGGTTGTTGATATAAGCACCATATAAGTAGAAAGTAGTGAGCTATTTGGCAAAGAGGGTGCCTGCAGTTTAAGTTTTAATATTGACATTAACAATTTATTAATGCTGTACTAATTAAATACTGAAATGGTAAATTCTTAGAAGTTAAATGATCTTTCCCCTTTTTTGTTTCTTAGATATCTATATAGTTACAAAGTACAACTTACAAAGATGATACACTTTTAAGCCTTTTTATTAAGTATTAATTTTGTAGAATCAGCATCGACAAATTTTTAGTAAATCTGAAGAAAAAGATACAGGGGATATTTGGAATTAACATAAGTTATTGTGCATTAAGCACTTTGTTTAAGAAATATTTGAGCTGTAGTTTCTGCAATATCATCAAACAGATGTTATAACTATTTTTACACTGTCTACACTCACATATGGTTGTGCCCAAACTCAGTACATCTTATCTTTTTTTATATACAAACTGTGCTTTTAGTTTTGGTATGAGAGTATCTCATTTCTTATTTAACTGTATTTACTATTCATATTTTACTCCTTTTTGTACATAATAATTAATGTTAAAATGGTAGATTAGTGACATTATGGTGAAAATGGAAAGTTCATTGTTATACAATATCAAAAGTTTCTTTACACTTTTTACCTTACTTGTTAATTAGATTACTGTTAATCATGAGATTTTGAAAATGTAAAAACTAACAAGTGTGTGCTAAAAAATGTTATCTACCACACAACTGTGATAAGTTTATATTTCAATCTCTAACATGAAGGAACTCTTGATACCCGCAGGGAGTCCACGCCAGACGGGCACAGGGACAGTAACTGTGGTGGTCAGTGATGAGAATGACAATAAACCTATTTTTGAGAGATCTCATTATATAGCTACTGTAATGGAAAACTCACCACCAGGCTCTGAAGTGATAACTGTGACTGCCATTGATGCAGATATTGGATCTAACAGCATTTTGACGTATGTAATCATACTAATCAAGGAAAATCAGTACATTATTTAATCAGGCATCTTTCATATAGAAGTTTGTGAGATAAGTTTTTGTCAAAAGTTTTTAACATAAATATTTTGTATAAAGGAAATAGTACTATATACTTATTTGTGGTAGATTTGATTCCGAAAAATGTTTTGTCTGCTTGAAATGTTTCCATCACTCAGAAAGCCTATAATTTGAACAGTGCACTATATTTTAAGAAATTATCTACGTGTCTTTTTTTTTTAGATAATCAATTTCATATTTGAATTGTATTTAAATTATAGTTTTTTGCTAGTTTTTGGGGCCATCCTTATATTAGTGTAGTTGTACATTTTTATTATGTTTATTTCAAATGCAAAAAATAACTATTTTTACTGGTATATATTATCTCCACTTTTAAAAAAATAGCTGTGTTGTTTTATTTTTTTTGTAATTATTGCAGGAATATTAAGAATCTTTTTTATCATAATTACCATTTGTCATAAATCAGTATTACTAATTGTGTGATTTTTTAATGTAATTTCGTTAACATTATACATTTAAGCTTCTGTAAAAATATATCTATGTATATAGTTTTGAAAATAAAGTTGGAACAAAACAACCTTTACTCACCAAATAATAATAACAAACTTTATTTCTATGTTACTAACTTTCTAACTTTATTGCCAAAATGTATATATATATATATATAATTTTAAGTTAGTGTCCAAAGTCAATTTTTTACCGAGCTTATCATGAATGTTTTCCTTTAAATTGCCAGGTATACTTTAATTGGAGATAATCTTGCCCAGTTTGAAGTAGATCCTTACTTAGGCACTATCAAGACGCGTGCTGCTCTGGATCGGGAGGAGAAAGAAATCTATGAAATGGTTCTGGTTGCAAAAGATGGTGGGTTAACTGTACAACATTCCACACATGTGCATATAACCATTGAAGTTGGAGATGAAAATGATAATTATCCCATTTTTTCTGAACAGAACTCAACTGTGTATCTTCCAGATAATGCACTTGCTGGTAGGTTTTACTTATATACTCTGCAATTTCAAGTTTGGTATTTTATCTTATATTTAATAATCATTAAATGATATGGTATAGATTTATATTTAAACTACTCAAGCCAATTTTTTTTACAATAACATGCCATTCAAAGACATCTGTCATTGGGGTCTATCAGCAATGAAATTTGAAAAGGAATACATTGGCCATTAGGAAAAATGTGATAACCAACAACAATTGGACAAGCTTGAAAAGTACAACAGACACCAGACCATGTGTTACTTAACTAATTCTTTAATAAATATCAGGATTTGACTGCCTCCAATAATACCATGCATAAGACATTACAAGAAAGGTTATATTTATTGACAGCTATTCTGAAAAAAAAAAGTCACCTTCAGTATTGCATATAATTTATACTGTGAACAATGAAACACTGTAAGTGTGTGACTGATCTGACGAATTAACTTTTCTCTACTGACAGTACATAAGTTCTTGAGGTATTTGATACTGGTTGTTTTATTCCTAACAGTGAAAGTTGTTAGAGGTAATAGTCTTGGGTATATCCTCATGGCAGTTAATAAGTTGTTTGGTTTCCTTTAAAAGAGAATTTAATGTCCAACATGTACGAGAACCTTGCTGACAGTTATATACCCTCACAGTGCTATACCTCCGCCCTGATAGACAAAGTATATGCAAGACAAAAATGCAACAATCCAAAACACTTTTATTATTCAAAATTAATTTTAAGGGCACAGCAGTGTATTTAGTCCTCTTTCTTGGCCACCGAATCTCAATTTCATTGAATACTACTATGGATTGATCTTCAACATCACAGTTGCTGTCAGTACCTATTAACAGATTACTGATCAAATTCCCCAGTAAATGGACTACAATACAATTAGACACTTTTCAACATCTTAAATTCTTTATTTTGACAAATTCAGGCTACTATCATGACTAAAAAGTGGTCCATTTACACATTAGGTTGAGGACAATTGTATTAAAGTAGCCAGTCATTGTTATCAGGGAGTTTTAGTTGAGTAAGTAATAATGCAGACAATAATTGGTTCTGTCTTTTACACTTTAGAATCTTGTACTAAAAGTGTTGATAAAAAAAAGTGTAAGCACACACAGTGTAGAAGCATTTTTTAATAGCTTTCAGTAGACTAATTATTGTAAAACAACACATGATTATATTATTATTCAAAACATACAGAGTAAGATAAATGTGCTAGATGAAGAGACAGGAAACCAGATTTGCTAATTTTTGTTAAAATTGTTAATGAAGCATGAGCTTTATCTTTCTATCTTTGCTTATGATGTTCTACATTTGTAATTTATTTCTTACTGTTGTTCAACTTTCTAAAATGAAAAAAAAGCAACCTTGCATATTTTATAGTTTTCTTTTTTATATGAAATATTCTTGGTTTATAGAAATTTTATAATTAAAAGTATGTTATCATAATTTAATGTTTAACACATTTATCATCTTAAAGTTGATCAAGTTTTGCTAGCTTTGGATTAATCCATTTAACATGCTGATTTAGTGCAATCCCTCATCTGAGAGTATGTGAAGCAAACAAATATTCTTAATATGCTTAATCCTCATATACTTTTAACACTGTCGTAATTGAAAAAATGATAAAAAAAAGATTTTAACTAAGGAAATTATCTCATTGTTAAAAAAAAATGGCCTACAAAAGATTTCAAAGAACAGCATCCTCTTGCAGCTATCAGTCTTTTACCTATGTAAAATATGTAATGAAAGTTGATAAGTGTGTTTATAAAACAAATTTTTTTCCTAAGTTTTATTATCAGTTACACTTTTTTCATACATAAATTGAAATGAGTCATTTACCAGTTTAAAAGATCAAAATTCAACTGTTTGAAAACATTACCGTAGCACAGTTCTCTCTTTTAGATTATCTGGGGAAAATAATTCAATGTCCAGTTCACGTAATGATAATAAATTACTTTATTTTATCCTTTAACATTTTTACAAACTTCGATACTTGTACACTGTCATAAACTGCTGTAGGCCTATATTACAAATAAAATTATCTAATGTAAAACATATCAACTTGTACAAAGTAAGTGCAATAACTAACACACTGACTGGTTCACTCTATCTTGAAATCACTCTACACACTTTACAACTGACCCATATTTATAATCTAGCATCGAATGTACTAGAAAAAACTTGTTATCACATCCTTAAAACTTTCTTGGTATTTTATGCCCTCTAGCTAACAAATTACAAAGTTAAAAATATGGCTTACAACAATACATTGTAATTTTGAACTCATTAAAATTGGAAAGCTAGTAAGAGAATGATAACTTTTAACAAAACATTGTAATCAAACTTCTACCTCATCAAAAAAAAGTATTTAATTTAAAATGTTTGAATAGGTAAGAACACCAACTGTTTCAAAAGTCATTTCCATTGCTCAGTCAACTTCATTCAGAAAACTGATGTGTACAAAGTTGTGAAGCTCGGTGTGTAAGCAAATTTGACCATGTGGAAGGCAACATATACAGTTGTGAGGTACATTATGCTGACATCATGTTCACACCATGATAACTAAAGGTATAAAATATAAACCATCATCAGAATTCATGTTCAAGCTGTTTTCAACAAGTCATGCAGTGCATGGTCAAGTTGATGTACAAACCAAGTTTCACGACACTGTGTTCATCACTTTCATGAATGCAGTCAGCTGAACAGTGGAAGTGAGTTTTGAAACACCCATTATCCAGTCTTAGATATAGTACCTTGTTCTTGTACCAAATTTATGGTATGACAAGTAAATGATCTTGTACCTAAACATTTGGTAAAAAGAAATGGAAATACTTTGCATATAAATGATTGGATGGAATCAACTGTGTCAGTCTAAAGTGTGAATAGAGCATTTGTTGAATATTAATGCTTACAAAGAATAAGGATTCATAAGCTTTTCTTGATGTTAAAGTGTTTGGAGAGCCAAAAAGTTTAATTATTTTCTTTTTCTTTTAGGGCATTTTGTTTTTGGGCCCTCTGTTCATGATATTGATGCTGGTTTGAATAGCAAACTTGTTTATCACCTATCTGGAACTGATACAGACAAGTTTCAAATAAATCAAGATACTGGCATAGTGAAAATTGTTCAAAAGCTAGTCTACAAACCAGAAGGTTATCATATCAAAATTCATGCAACTGACAACAGTCCTACACCATTATCTTCCAGCATTAGTGTCCAAGTCTACCTAAAACCAGCAGAACTCTTTCCAATTTTTCAAACTGGAAATCGCCAATTTGTTTTTTCAGAAACTGCAAGAAATACATCTATCACAACAGTAGCTGCAACATCTCCAAAGTCAGGGGAAGCAGGAATGATTTCTTATCACTTTGCAGGTGGAAGCTTTGAAGAAGCATTTGAGGTTGATTCTCAAAATGGTAGGGTTTGGCTTCTTGGAGGTCTGGATTATGAAATTTCATCAAAATATGAACTTTGGATTGAAGCAAGAGACAGTGACATTCCACATTTAAGAAGTGCAGTGAAAATAGAAATAGAAGTTACTGATGTTAATGATAATAGCCCAGTTTTTGAAGCTGAAGTGTACAATGCTACTGTTATGGAAGAACAAGATCCGCCACAACTTGTCTTTGCTCTTCAAGCTAAAGATGCTGACAGTGGAGAAAATAGTCAAATTCTTTACCACCTTGTGAACAATGAGGGTTCTGATGTGCCATTCAGTTTGGATTCTAATTCAGGGAAAATTTATATAAAATCTGTTTTGGACAGGGAGGAAATTGAAATTTACAAACTTGTTGTTGAAGCTGTTGATCAAGGAGTACCAAGTAAAACTGGAACAGCTACAGTATTCGTCACAGTACTTGACAAGAATGACAATCCTCCAAGATTCACTCGTTTATTCAGTGTGAACGTGACAGAAAATGCTCCCTTAGGCACTTTTGTAATCCAAGTGACATCATCAGATAAAGATATTAGTATGAATGCAAATGCAACGTACAGCTTTACTGAGAATCCTGGAAGTAAGTTTCATATTGACCCCCTTACTGGAAATGTTACGGTGTTTGGCTGGTTAGACAGGGAAGTTCAGGATGAGTATCTTTTAAAGGTGGTTGCTGTTGATGGATCTTGGCGAGCTGAGACAACACTGACCATTACAATTCAAGATGTGAATGACAATGCTCCTTTATTTTCTGAGAAGATTTACACCTTTAATTATCCCGAACTGCAACCAACCATTGGCTTTGTTGGACAAGTGTCAGCTATAGACATAGATAAACATGGACCAAATTCAATGGTGACTTATTCTTTGAAGCGGCCCTCAAACTTTTTCCGTATCAATCCATCTAGTGGAGAGATACTGAGCAAGGAAGTTCTTCATTACAAAATATCATCAAAAGGATTTTCTCCAGAGAACCAGCATAGAATACAAGTTATTGCAACTGACCATGGAAAACCTCCATTATCAATGGAAGTTAACATTGTTATTAATATAGTGGATTCAAATAATAATCAACCTCTTTTCCAAAAAAAAGAATACTTCACTCCTGTCACAGAAAATGTTGGAATTGGAACCTCTGTTATACAAGTTATTGCAAATGATAATGAAGATGTTGGAGTCAATGCTCAAATAGAATATCAAAAAAGTGGAGGAAATGGAACAGCATTTTTTAATGTGCACAAAACCACAGGTTTGTACTTTTCTTTTGAATAATAAAAAAATATAAATATTTAAAACTTACTGAATGTGGTGACAGATGATGTGTGCTTTAAAACCATTTCTTGTAAGTCTTGCAGTTTAGTTCATTTACCACCAAAAAAATAAAAGTGTGTTTGTTTAACTAATTATAATCTGCATAAAATCTAGTCTTTTAAGCCTAAACAGCTTTATTATTAGAAAATTTTAGGTATTATTAGTTATATCCTATAGGATGTAGAAGGTAGATTTAATTAATTAAAAATATAATTTACTAACATATGATCTAAAACAAGTTTCTAGTTATATGTGGAGTAAAAGTTACTCTTGAATAGGCTAGTTAGACAAACTTTAACAAATTAAGGAGTCATAAAAGTAAGATAAAATGTATTCATGAAATAAACGGTTTGTTAAAATAAGAAAAGAAGAAGAAAAACACAATTTTTTTAGTAACTGTTCATCTGACTAGAAGTGTAGTGCTCAGAGGAGAAGCATTTACTGAAACTTCTATAGTTATGATTCCTGACTTGTCATGCTGAATGAAAGCTACTGGTAATTTTTTTAAACATACCATTTACTATGGCCCATAAACAGTTTGTATATTTAAAGCAAAAAACAAATGTTTAAATTATTCAGGGTTACAGGTACCAAGATCTGCAATAAATAGCAAATTCAGAAAATTTTTTGCAAAGAATAAATCAAACATCAAAGAAAAACACTCAAGCACATATGTAAGAGCAAGAATAATGAAAATATTTATTTACATAGACAAAGTAAGCATTCGAGACTTGTTTACAATTAGCTTCTCATCTAAAAGACTAACTGACCTGACTTTTGGAGTTCAGGGAGAAAAGAAACAACTGCAATTGGAAAAAGATGAAAGAATTATTTTCATACCACACTGTTAAGCTAGATGAAAGTCCTAGTGTGGTATCCCATAATCCTAGATTACCTATGTCATTGACCATTTCCATTATATATGAAGAAATTAACACCCAACTCAAATTAACTTGTACAAACCTCCATACCAAGTAAAAGTGATGACACAGAAGTGTGTCCAAGGAATTATTATTTCCATGAAAGTATCAATGTGGTATGAAATAGGATTAATGAAAGTTAATGACTATTTGTATCCCAATTACAAGAATTTCAGTTAAATAACAAACACTGGCACAGAAATTTTAATACTATACATGAATATACCTGTCTGATGATATATTACTTTTTAAGTTATACAGAATTTAGCAATTTTTCAACTGCTACATTGTTTTAATAGAATATTTTTAACTAGAAGTAAGTTTTCAAAGTTGAAAAAATTGTTAACATATGTTGTAAGAATTGGAATAGTATGAAAAATTATTTTATGTGGTTTTATCCAATAGGTTGGGTCACTGTAGCTGAATCTCTGTTAGGTCAACAGGAAAAATGGTTCTTGCTGAAACTGCAAGCAATTGACAAAGGTGTTCCACCCAAATCATCAGAAGTTCTTCTTAGTATTATTGTAACAGTTGAAAATCTTCATGCTCCTGTCTTCACAGCACTTAGTTACCAAGTGATTGTGCCTGAAAATGAACCAGCAAACTCGGAAATAATTACTGTTAAAGCTAGTGATAAAGATCAAGGTAAATAAAGTTTCTAAAAATAATTTTAAAAAATTGTAATCTACTGGAAATTTGGGACATGCTTAAATCGGATCTTTACATTACTATATTTCTATCCATAATTTGAATGTGTCTTTATTTCAGTTATCATTTCTAAGATCAGAGTTTTTTTTTTGTGGCCTTAACTATACATAGATCTGTTTCAGTTACTCTCATAGGAAGTTCTATGTGTCATTTGATACAGTCATGAGAGTTAGATTTATTGAAAATAACTAACTTGTGTATGAGCACAGTTGACCAGTTAATGTTGGGGTATCATAAGAAAGACTTTATTAAGTACTTTAACCTCAAAACATTTTGTTTTATTTATTATTTATTTATTTATTATTATATCCAGCATTATATACAAAATAATGTTTTTAGATTTACATAGTTAATTTGTGTCAGTTAAGTAAAGGAACAGGAAAGTGATAAAATGTTATTTGACTCAATTAGGTCACTCCTTGGTTTACTAAAACAACTAAATAAAGTTACAATAACAAAGTAAATGTAGCTGTAGCTCTTTAGATTCATATATTAAGAGTCTTATAAATATCAAATACAAAAGAGATAAGCCTGAAGCTCTCATCTTATTTATCTTGATAATGATAACTTGCAATTTACTTGAGCTAATATTGTAAAAAAGTACTTAAAACATTTTGTATACAACTATATTGCAGAAAAAAAGCTTTCATCACACTTACGCCAACTGAAAAACTTTTCTAATGCATATAAGAAAGTTATGTTAACTCTTTTTTTCTATAAACTGACCTAAAGAGGGTTTGTTTCATCCCAAACACTGAGTATGGCTCTTGTACCATCCCTTTTTTTATACTCAACTGATTTTTTTTTCAAGATTATCACACAGTGAAAGCTAGGACACTCATTTATTTTATTTCTCTTAAAAAAATTTAGTTATTTGCTTATATTTACACTGACTTGTTAAATTTATGAGTGTTTATTTTTCATTCTACATGATGGAAGAATATTCTAATTTTATATTTATTTTAAATGACTTTCATTTAGGATGTTTTGCTGAACTTATTGAACAAAGAAATCTTACTAAAATTGAAAATCATTTAGACTTTTAATCTTATGATGCTTCACAGTTTCCTAATAATAATTTTCATGTAATTACTTACAGTTTTTTCACTTTGAGCAATGTTATTTTAAGATGAATTTTTATTAAGTTCAACTAAACAAGTTTTTCCCCGAAGTTATATGTATTTCAGACTTTGGATGTATAAATCAATTGTTTTTTTTTGTACATGTAGTCTCATAAATTATTAATAAGGCATTATATGCTTCTGAATTGAAAATCAAATAGTGGTATTGTATTTTGTTATTTTTAGCAGTAGATTGGACTACAAAATGAATAATTATTCTCATGATTTATTGCATGTGCACATTTTAGTGATGTCATACAGTACAAATTGTGACATTAAGCATCCCTTATGTGATATCATTGTAGTGTCTACTGACTAACTCACAGACAACACACTACTTTATAGTAGTGTGAGTGGTTAAAACAGATGACCCCTTCAGGCGGCCTTATGCCCCCTTTCAAAGATATTAGTACAATACCCAACAGTTAGGTACTTAAGAAACCAAGATTTTCCCTTTCTCTTAATATTACTGTTTATCAAAACATGTATGCAAAATTTATAATTACTTACTAAACTATGACTATTCATTCAGTTGAGTTTTATTTCTTCAAACTAATTTTCTGTTTTATTTCCAGGTCTCAATGGTGAAATCATTTATTCCATAGTAGCAGGAAATAATGACGAAAAGTTCCATATTAGTCCTAACACAGGTTCAGTGAGCATTCAGGAACCTTTGGATTATGAGAATGGTACAGAGTTCCATTTGAATATTACTGCAACAGACAGAGGATTTCAGGCCAAACATACCACATCAATGTTGACGGTAATTGTAACAGACATCAATGACAATCCACCTTTTTTCAATGCATCAATCTTCAATGCTTTTGTCATGGAAAACAAACCTCCTGGAACATACATTACACAATTAGTTGCAAAGGATACAGATTCTGGCATTAACTCTGTTATTCAATATTCAGTCATAGGAGAAGGAAAAGAATTCATGATAGATCCTCAGTCTGGTGTTATTACATCAAAAAGTATATTTGATTATGAAGAAAAAAATATCTTTACATTAGAAATAATGGCTAGTAATCCTGGTTCTTCACAGTATAGCTCCACAAGTCTACGTGTCCATGTCATTGGTCAAAATGAATTTTATCCTCGATTTGTACAGCCAGTCTTCCAGTTTACTGTTAGTGAATCAGCAACTGTTGGAAGCCCAGTAGGAAGCCTTTTGGCTACTGATGAAGATTCTGGTCCAGATGGTGACCTGTTCTTTGTGTTTGTAGGCAGCAGTAATGACCGTGGCTTTTCAGTGCAGTCAGAAACAGGGCAGATTACCGTAGCTCGAAGGTTGGACAGAGAATCTCAGTCTCGTGTCATCTTGTCTGTGATAGTGAAGAATAGGGGAAGCATAAGAGGAAATGATACAGATGAAGCCCAAGTTGTCATCAGCATCCAAGATGATAATGATCCACCAGTATTCTCCTTGTTAGTGTATGAAATTCAGGTGAGTGAGGCAGCAGAATTGGGATCAAAAGTCATTACAGTCTCAGCAGTAGATAAAGATGTAAATCCAGAAAATAGCCACTTTGCTTACTCTATAATTGCAGGCAATATCAATCAAGTATTTGGCATAGATCATCAGTCAGGTACAATCTACACTGCAGGACAACTAGATAGGGAATCCTTAGCAATTTACAATCTAACCATTGCAGCTGTTGACAATGGTTCTCCACCACAAACAGGTACAACTATTGTTAAAGTACTTGTAACTGATGTGAATGACAATGCTCCAATTTTTGACCCTCCTGATGTTATTGGATATGTTATGGAAAATGAACCAGCCTTCACCAGTGTGATGGTATTAAGTGCTTCTGATCATGATTTGCCACCCAATGGTGCCCCATTTTTGTACTTTTTGACTGCTGGGAAATATCAAGACTTCTTCCAAATTGACCACCATACAGGTTTAGTCAAGACAACTCGGAGTATTGATCGTGAAAGCACACCAAATATCGAGCTCCTTGTTGAAGTTCACGACAGTGGTCTACCTCCAAAAAAAGCACAGCATCCAATCAGTATTGTCGTACTAGATAAAAATGACAGTCCTTCTTCCATTAGAACTTTAACAGTGCTGGTTTGGATTTTTAATAAAAAGTTTCCTGGTGGTAAAATAGCTGATGTTCATCCTTCTGACCTTGACCTAACCGGAAATTATCAGTGTACACTTCACAAGGGAGACATAAATATTTTTCGTATTCCAAGCAAATGTGACCTCCATGTAATACCACTGCAGAATCCACAAAATTATGTTATAACAGTGAAAGGTAATGATGGGCAACATACAGATGTAATATCTACAACCCACGTGCAGTTTATGAAATTTGACAACCTTACAATAGAGAACAGTGTAACGGTACAGATCCTGAACCAATCTACCAATGAATTCTTGATGCATCAGTTTCAACACTTTGAGAAGGCACTCAAAGACATGTTTAAAGTAAGTATCTTGTAAGAAATGCTTAAGATCGAATTATAATTAGTTTTTATAACCCAAGCCATTTTAATAAATTATTTCAGAAAAACTGTGGTATGATTATTACATTAAATAGTTTCTTCTTTTACCTAATATTTCTAGATTTATTTAAAACCTTATTATGGCCAAGAAAATTATTTTCATGAAGTTAAAGACTGTAACATAATTATACAATCACTATTTTTCTGTCCTCATTTCAAAATTTTATGTATTCAACTTGCTTCTTAATACTTACATTTATTTAGACTTCATAGTAACATAATATTTTGCTTATTTTGAAATTGTATTCACAAAAGGTTGTCTATATTATTACTATTGCTAACTTTTTCAGTTGAACATAGTGAACATGGAGTTTTGAATTGCTTGTAAAAAAAAAGTAATTATTCTCTGTATTGATGTTATGAGACATTTTGTGTTTTATTTTCAAATATGTCAATAAGTTGTTCAAAACATTAAACTAAAGTTAGTCAAAGAATGCATCTGTTCTCTTTTCTTTTTTTTTACAGTCCTTGGGAATTCCAATGTTGTATAGCTTAACTGCCATAAGCAGCCACCTAGAACTAACAGTCGCTGTAAGGACAAACACTGGGAATTACATCTCGCAAGAAGATGTTTTTACTGTACTTAAAGAAAGAAAAACATCTCTACAAAACTCAATTGGTAAACAAGACATTATTATTGGATTTGATCCTTGTAAGAACATGCCTTGTAAAAATGATGGAAAATGCAATAGTTACTTGGAATTACAAGATTCACTTTCCATCTTGGATTCCCCATCCTTGATTTTTACATCCCCTGCCATCAGACGTCAGTTTTCATGTACTTGTCCAAAAGGGTTCTCAGGTACCTTGTGCCAGTATCAGCAAAATCCTTGTTCACCTAACCCCTGTTTGAAAGGTGGAACTTGTCATCATGATGGTCAAAACTTTCAATGTGATTGTCATTCTAAGTATGAGGGTAAAAGATGTGAAGCTTTAAGAACTGACATTTGTGCTAGTTCACCATGTGAAAATGGAGGGACCTGCGAAGAAGCTCCAAATGGCTTGTTTTTTTGCTTATGCCGGCCAGATTTTAGAGGTACTGTCTGTGAACATGCTACAGACAGTTGTCGCCCAAACCGTTGCTTAAATGGAGGAACTTGTATTATTGAAAATCCAGGTTTGTGAATGTTAATTGTGATGTTTTTCACATTGTATGCAGTAATGTTCTGATTTTGTTTAATGTATTTTTTTTCAGTTGATGTTTTATTTAATATCTTTTGTTTCTGGCAATTTTTTTAAAATACTGAATTATAAAGTGGAATGTTTGTCATACTTGTTGACTTACATTATAGAATAATTTAAGTTTTAATACTTTTTAGAAAGCTAATAGTTTCATTTCCTAAAACTGTAGTCTTGTTTTATTAAACAATAGTTTTTACAACGTTTGCAAATTTTACAAAAATACACAGGTACAGCAGTGCCATAATAAAGTGTGTTGTAACCTCTTACTAATAAATCTCCTATACATCAACATGCATCTTGGGTTGACCTACTGTTGACTTAAATAAATAATATTAACAGATAAATGAGATCTGATGCTTTAAGTGATACTTTTAACTAACCATATGGACAACTAGAGTGACTTACAGTATTATACATTTCTTATAAAATGTTTCATTTTAACATTATTTTCAGGCTATCGTTGTGCTTGCAGAGCAAACTATTTTGGAAGACACTGTGAAAAGTCACCTTTTGGTTTTCACCGATACTCTTACATGGCATTTCCTGCACTTAGGTCTTCAACTAATGACATATCTATAGTTCTTTCTACTAATAAAAGAGATAGTCTGCTTGTTTATAACTATGGCAGACAGAGTGGTGGAAGATCTGACTTTGTAGCTCTGGAACTACATGATGGTAGACCAATGTTTTCCTTTGGAGGTTCTCGTACAGCAGTTGCAACTATTCGGGCAAGAACAAATGTTGCTGATGGTAAATGGCATAAAATCACTGTGATACGCAATGGAAGGGTAAGTTTTGAAGGAGATTGCTATTGTAGAGCTATATCACGTAACCTGATACAAAGCAGACAGATATCCTAACTTTGCAAATCTTATTCTATAAATTAATCAAGCAGCTTTACTAAAATGGCATAAAATCACTGTGATACGCAATGGAAGGGTAAGTTTTGAAGGAGATTGCTATTGTAGAGCTATATCACGTAACCTGATACAAAGCAGACAGATATCCTAACTTTGCAAATCTTATTCTATAAATTAATCAAGCAGCTTTACGTTTATTAATAATCAGTACAAATAACTAGAATAGGTGTTTTGATAATTGGAATTCGATATGGTTAAATGTTAAAAGCCTTTGTTTTGTTTTTTAGCAAGTTACTGAAAACTACTATTTAAAGACCAATAATTTTGGTATTGAGTAGAACAGGAATCTTTAAAATATCTTTTACAAAATTAGTCAAAGAAATTCTTTTGAAATGAAACTACCTGTATCAAATTATTACTTAAAAGTAAGTATTCTCGAAACAATGAAGAGCTTCTGTTTCAAGAACTAAAGTTGGTAAAACTTTTAGGGTCATCCAATGGGCAGTTCAGGATAAAGTTAGATAAAAAAACAGGAAATACTAATGTTTGCCAGAAAATAAAACTTAAACTGATAATTGAAGATGGAGAATAATAATAATTATGATAAGGTAACTGTAACCAATTTACATTAACACATTGATTTAAGTGGTTTGTATCTAAACAGGTGATAATTCATAAAGCTGTAACATGAACATTTTTTTTTTATATTTAAGTATTTTTTCCTACTGATGTATTCTAGGTGACATCATTGTCAGTGGTTGACTGCTCCAACAGTGGTGATGTGTGTAAGGAATGTTCCCATGGTAATACTAGTTGTTCTGTATCCATAACAGGCCATACTGGGTAATTGTTTTGCTATATTTTGTCAATTTTTGCTTAAAACTAGTAATTATAAGATTTTAATTTTCTTATTTTTCCTGAATGTATTTAAACTTGTTTAATGCTATTGTGCTTAGAAATTAAGATATTATAACATTGTTTCATGATGGGGGGAAAATGAAGTCTAATAATAAAGATGAAGACAGTTGAGAATATGTTGTTTTTCTTTTGTCCTTCTCTTTATCACTTTATTCAATATCTAAGTAAACTAGTGACTAATGATACTCTAGCCTTAGTTAATAAATATATTTTTATCACAATTTTCAGATTTTATTGAAGATGGAATGAATGTAGTTGAACTTTGTAAATAAAATGTTTTGTGTTTTGTCAACCATCTTCATCTTTATTATAACATTGTTTCTTGATACTGCATACTCTTATTTAGACCAATGTATTAAGTTAGCTACATTATTTACTGGATTAATTTTTAGTTTTGATGTATATTGATAGCTTGCTTTGACTTGAAGTTTTTGATAACTGTATCTTGATTTGTGCAACTTGTGGATATTGTAACTTGTTGAATATGTTATATCATTAATAGCTTAGAAGGTTTTCACAGTTTTCAATTTTAATTTTGAGATGTAAAAGTAAATAAGCAATTAATGATTTTTGTGGAACTAATTTTTTCTGTGTAGTTCTAAAATGTTTGAAACTCAAAAACTAATAATTTTTTTTTACAAAACTAATAAATATTTCTAATTCAATGATGAGGAACCCACTTTGAGACAAATAACGGTTGGAGATGGCTTGAATGGGTAATGAAGAAAAACTTCAGGTGCTGATGACAAAACCTTGTCAAAACGTTGTACATTTGCTGTTATGTTAAACTTATATTAAAGTTTTTCTTCATTACCCATTCAAGCCTTTTCCAAATATTTCTAAATTTATGAAAAACAATATATTAAAAAAAGAGTAAATCTTACTCTCTAATTGCATTCAAATAAACTGTTTTCATGAGGTTTACATTATAATAGAATTGTATTTAATTTACATAGCATGTAATGAAAAAAATTCTCAGTTGTGTTTTAGAGTTTTACACACAAAATTTCCAATCTTTCGTTTTTATTGACTTTGGTCAAAATGATAAAATATTCAACTTATAGTTATTTTATTTATCCCTCAGTGGGTCAGTGGTAAGTTTGTGTAATTATAGTGCTATAATGTGGGGTTTCATTCCTTGTGTTGGAAATAATGCAGCTAGCTCATTGTGTAGCTTTGACTTAGAAGAAATAACATCAAGAAATGTTTTTGTTTATAGTTGTATAGGTTTTATATGCATAATTTGAATGTTTATATGATTGTAAGAAGAAAACATTCATACATTTCTGATAATTTAGATCTCTAAATTTCAACGAAAATCCCATGTATTTTGGAGGAATACCGACTATCGATCCTCTTCTTGAGCAACCAGGTCAAGTAAGCACAGATGATTTTGTGGGCTGTGTTCACAGTGTGGCAGTGAATGGCCGCCAACTAGACCTAAGTTCTCCTGTGCAGTCTGCTCATGTTACTTCATCATGTGAACGACGGTATGACAGCTGTAAGTCTGAGAGTACTTCTCTCTGTGGGGAATATGGCACCTGCCAAGACTTGTGGTTCACCACCACATGCATTTGCCCCAATGGACAACAGGCACCAAATTGCAAACAAGGTACTGTAATTTTGCTTACAAAATGAAATATTAGCAAAGGGGAACTACAATACTTTATGAGTTATTGATATATATATATACACACACTTTCAGTAAACTTTCCTGAACTTCAAACAATTATAATTTAACTCTTTTTAAGATTGTCATTGATGCTATTATTTTAAAAGGTTTCTGTTTATTTGTCATTTGGAATTATAGTTCTTTATGATGTTAAGCATTTACATGTTCTTTTTATAATAAGTGGGAGAAATGTGTATCTTACAAGAATTGGTTAATTATATTCATATTTGGTTTTTCTTGAGGCAAGCACTAAATCATACTTAACTAAGAGATAAATATTTTTTGTTGTTTTTTTTTAGGCAAGTACTAAATCATACTTAACTAAGAGATAAAGATTTTTTGTTTTGTTTTTTAGGCAAGCACTAAATCATACTTAACTAAGAGATAAAGATTTTTTGTTTTGTTTTTTAGGCAAGCACTAAATCATACTTAACT